AAAAAAAAAAAAAAAAAAAAAAAAAAAAAATTTACCGTAAATCATGATGGAGCGAACGAAATTTTGTCCTCCAAAACGGGAGCAAAGATTGAGCTATTTCAAACATCATGACCCAAGCTATTGTACAATACAATACACCATAAACCCGGAAAACTTCACGCCATTTGCCATCATGTAAACATCTCGTCTTACATTACACGCGTATGAGTACATAATGTCTCCTTTTATTGCGATATGAAAAATGTATATAAAGTACCGCGCAAAGTACAGCTAACTCGTCGCTGTCGTCGCGTAGATGTGTAATATCACGTAGTCATTGTGTTAATTATGTATACATATACACGTGGATTACAGTAAGTACAAGAGTCTCGCGAAACGCGAGGGGAATTAAACAGCTGACGGGGGAAAAAAAAAGACAAAATTCTCAGGCTGGAAAAGGGAGAGTGTATTGTTGTAACGTCGGGTATAATGTGGTGTACGTTATGTACTTAACGACAACGACCACGAGAGAGTTCACGGGTAAGTAGGTATACGGAAGCTATCTTACTTAGGTAGAAGAAGAAAAAGAATGAAAAATATACCCTCCAACTGTGCGTGAAGTAGTAGTACATATACCTACAGGTATAGTTCAGGTATCGCGTACCTAAGTATGCGTATATATATATAGATATATTGTCGGTTTTTCATCTTTCCCGAGGTACCTGCGTTATGAAAAAAAAAAAAAAAAAAAAAAATGACGTTAAACGAAAGATTTACCATCAGATATGTATTTCCAAAAGTTCATATCATCGTACCCACGTAGCGCGCTTTTTTTGATTACCGATACTTGGGTATACGATAGCGAACTGCATCGTGACATCGATGAAAAGGAGGAGGAAGAAGGGGAGTTCGTCTTACTTGCTTATGAGCGCACGAACGGCAATTCAGTGCGGGTCTATAACGTGTACTTGTCGCTTGTGGAAACGCGATACTCGAGTATACGAGATATACAGGTATATATATGAGAGAAATCGCATTGCCCCCTCTGTATATAATACACGTATACGGAGTAGTTCTAGAGATCATACGTACTGTAATATATATATTTTTTTTTTTTTTTATATTCATCATCGCCCCTTGAGGGCTCAGACACGGCTATTTTGACACTATAAAGTGTATTTAGCCATACGTTGGGTTTAATAACAGTAGGGGGAAACGGTAGATAGATCGGTAGGTTTATTGAAGTACAAATCTCATCCAGAAAAAAACCTCATTCATTGATGAAATTTTTGTCCAGAGTGGGATTTGAACCCCGGCCATCAAGATCTGTAGGCAGACACGCTACCGACAGAGCCATCATGTGGCTTCGTAATATATATATACACCTGCATGTTTTTATGTAGTACATACGATGCACGTGTGCACCATGAAGTAAGATATGGTATAACGGTATATATAACGCTCGGGGACTTTTGTTTGAAAGCTACAAGTATATATTACGTGCATTTATGCGTTTGGACAAATATGCCTGATACAATTATAACACAAATGTATGCATGGGAGAGAAAAGAAATTTCTTCGAATCAAAAAAATATTCGCTGGAATGTGTGGTATCGAGTGTGAATATTACAACCAACAGGACGAAATTTACAAGTATGATTAATCAAACTAGTATCGGGAATCAGCAGGCATTTTTTTGATATTTTTCGACCCACAAAGCGATAAAGATGCACATCATCGCAATACGTGTGTTTACGAGAATCAGTATTTTTCGGTATTAGGTAAATTGTAAAAAAAACAAAAAAAAAAAAAAAAAACAAATGTACACTTAAATAACTACGATAATCCTATAAAAAGCTAATCCAAGAAAGCTCATGCGATTCTTGATAGCATTTTTAAAAAATGTCAATCACCGAACAATTTAAAAAAGATGTTGATCGAACGAGAACAAATAAAAAACTTTTTCACTCGTTTAATCTACTCTGCACACGTTAACACGTTGTAAAGGTATGATGTAGTGTTGAAAAATCAAAATAGTGATTTTTAACGGGTTTTCAATTATTCGGAGTTTTCGCACGAAACCATACAAAACTATCGACTTTTCACTAAAAGTAAAAAATCCTCCTCCAAAGTATAATCTATAGTTTCGAAAGATTGTTTACTTCGAACTGTTCAGGTGAAAATTTTTCTTCATCATCAGGTGAATTTTGGTTTCCGAACAAGCCGAAAAGAAAAATAAATACACCATTATACTAGTCGTTACATCGATTTTCTTTCGCACAGTAACAATAATAAATTACCCGCGGTCCAGTTGCTTCTTTCTCCTATACATATATATGCATACGTATACAAGCTCGTGTTACACGGATAAATCGCATAAACTCATTATCGCCGTTTGTCCCACATAACTTTGCCACAACAATATTACACATAAGCCGCAGTGTATATAGGTAATACGTATCATACGCGCGACGAAACAATGACAGTATAGGCTACGTGCTCTAGAAAAAGAAAAAAAAAAAAAAATGATCCCTCCGTCACCCAATAGTATTCTTACACGTAACGAAGAAGACTTGTATTTATTAACGGCCGTTGCACGGGATGTACCGGGAACCAAAGAGGAAGATGCAGCGTTCCGCGAAGGTAATCTTGAAATGCTCGGCGTTGGGTTATTAGCGTAATGTCTCTCTTCCCCTTGGCCGGCCCGTACTTATCTCGGTGCCATCATCGCGGGAAAAGAGGAAACGCGAGGAGAGTAATTTAATATTTCTTCGTTCAATGACGATGGGATTGTTTTGACAATACGTAAGTACAAGCGTCCAGTTTCTCTCTTTGCTCTCTTTCTCTGGATGAAATTTATAAGAGTAATCATATAAAAATATGAGTAATTCGAATGAAGATTACCATTTTGACCTGTAAATCGGATGCAAGTTGGCGAAAAAGGGAAAATATTTTTATTGTTTTCGATTTATTAGAAATTGTTTATTATTTGTTAGAGTTATTAATAAAAAAATTGTGGTTAGAATAGTCAATATTATCATACTGGAACAGTAAACCTTTAAAGAATCGGTTGATAAATTTTACTCTTCCAGCATGGTAATTTTTACTATTCAAACCATAATTATTACCGTCAAAACAATAATTTTTTATAATATTAAACATAATAATTTTTTCCCTTTTTTTCTAGCTTGCATCCGATTTACAGTGCAGAATGTTAACATTTTGCTGGAATTTCTCTATAATTTTTATTAATTTTTTTTCTCTCTCAGTGTAATCATCGTATATAATAGTTTCTTTCGAACAATCGCTCGATTATCGGCCGTTACGTAAACGAGTTAGGAAAAAACAGTCACACGCTTCGTTTTTATTTCGACTCTCTTTTATTCTTAGATTGTTGAAAAAAAAAAAAAAAAAAAACACCCGAGAGAGAGAGAGTACCAAAGTACCAAACGTGTATACATGTGCCCAAAGAATGAAAATAGATCGATCGAGCGCCCCGAGCACACGTGAGATGAAAACACTATATGCCCCACAACCCAATTCTCTCTCTCTCTCTCTCTCTGTGCTAAATCTGTGATTGTATGTTATATGGGCGAGTGTAAAAGGAGAAGACGTGAATATGTATTATATATATATATATACCTTTCGCTTTACACACGCGCGTGTGATGTGTAAAAAAAGAGTCTCTCTGCAGCGGCAGGACTTTCTATTCGGCAAAACGAAAATTTTCTCCGGCAATTTCGAAAACCACCGTAAAAAGAAGCCTGACCGCTTCGTATCAGCTTTTTGACCCGCCCACGGAAATATATTTTTATTTTTTAATTGATTGAAGCGTTTTGTCATCCATCAAAATTGGTCAACCATCGGTTAAAAAAAAAAAAAAAAAAAAAAAAAAAAAAAAATTTACCGTAAATCATGATGGAGCGAACGAAATTTTGTCCTCCAAAACGGGAGCAAAGATTGAGCTATTTCAAACATCATGACCCAAGCTATTGTACAATACAATACACCATAAACCCGGAAAACTTCACGCCATTTGCCATCATGTAAACATCTCGTCTTACATTACACGCGTATGAGTACATAATGTCTCCTTTTATTGCGATATGAAAAATGTATATAAAGTACCGCGCAAAGTACAGCTAACTCGTCGCTGTCGTCGCGTAGATGTGTAATATCACGTAGTCATTGTGTTAATTATGTATACATATACACGTGGATTACAGTAAGTACAAGAGTCTCGCGAAACGCGAGGGGAATTAAACAGCTGACGGGGGAAAAAAAAAGACAAAATTCTCAGGCTGGAAAAGGGAGAGTGTATTGTTGTAACGTCGGGTATAATGTGGTGTACGTTATGTACTTAACGACAACGACCACGAGAGAGTTCACGGGTAAGTAGGTATACGGAAGCTATCTTACTTAGGTAGAAGAAGAAAAAGAATGAAAAATATACCCTCCAACTGTGCGTGAAGTAGTAGTACATATACCTACAGGTATAGTTCAGGTATCGCGTACCTAAGTATGCGTATATATATATATATATATATTTGTTACACGCGCGAGTGTGAGAAAAAAAAAAACGCGTGCGGGGGAGAGATTGAACCTCCGTTACGATTCTCCTTTTGTTTCTTCTTTGCCATTTTTTCTCTCCGTACTTTTCCAACTTTTGCTTGGTTATACAGATGTGCGGTTTTTTTTTAACGATTGGATCAAATGTTCGGGTCACGCGCATTTCCCACAAAATTATAATATGGCTTCGTTGGCATCGTTTGCTGCGATCGAGAATTTTTTTCCACGCCTAGTATAATTGAGTGTTAATAAAAATAAAAGCTGGTAATTACTTAGATTAGGACACAATACCCCCCTGCCCTCATTGATTTGTAGAAAAAATCATTCTGATTTATGTTATAAACAAATGCTGATGTCCGAAAGCATTTTATAATTGTTTTATGAAATATTCCACATTTTCTTAACATTCGTTAGGACAATTGTTTATTGGAGTAGTAACAAAATAATCCTCGGATGCATTGGAAAAAAAAAAAAAAACCACTTGCTGTACCCACAAAATGACCCATCAATTACCAACTCGGCAATGTCCTCCGGCTAATTCGTCGCTTCTACAATTTTTTTTTTTTGTTTTGTTTCCAATGAGGTCAGCCAGTTTAATAGCCCTTCCCTCTTTTTTTCCCACTAACCACCTTTTAATCCAATTTAAGGCACGTAAGTTGTGTGTATACTTGACAGCTCCTCGAACCATCACCCAATTGATCCAATAGGCTCAATTCGCTCCCTTTTCACGGGACACTTTTTTCATTTCATTCCATTGTACATATTATGGTCCTTTTTTTTTTTTTTCTTCCTCTCTATAAGGAGCGAAAAGCGACGATATAATTACTTCGGACGCGACTCTGTGCCCGTTTTCGAAAACTCTCGACTTTCCATCGGGTACACTTATATGCTCATATCAAACGAGTATTATATACCTATACTCAGCGTGAGAGGACTCTCGTCTGTATATATATATATACACAACCGCAGCTGCTGCTGCAAAAAAAAAAAACACACACACGTGTGACAGGGAGAAAGAAAGTATATCCCAAGTATATACACGTAAATTTTAAAAGGCAGCTGTAGCTCTCTCGGAAGTACTCTCACAGACGCCTTTTTTTTTTATTTATAAGTGAATGAACCAACGCATGAATGAATCAATACCGTCTTTGTTTCAGTTTTTTTTTTTTTCGTCCACCCCCTTGCAGCTACATATATATTTAAAAGCAGGTAAGTACGAGATATGGTTTAGAAAACTTTTGAAAAAAAAACCGAGTCGCTCTTTTACTTATTTCTGCAGTACTTGTACTTATAAACTCAATTCTCGTCATCAAAATTTTTTTTTTTTTTTTTCATGTTCAGCGACAGATTAGTACCTCCGAACAAATTGGAAATACCTGTAAGTACAGTATATACCTGCGGAAGTACACTTATGCAACACTAAATGGTACATAGCATTACACAAAGGGGCATCTGTGCGACTAATTAATGCACGTGCATATGTATGCATATATAGGTGCACACGCAGAGGAGAAGGTGTATAAACACTATAGCGATGGGGGTAAAAACATCTGGTCTCTGGGTCTAACCCCCTTTTTTTTGCAGCTTGTGCATATGCTGCATAGTATTGGAAAATCTACTATACGGTGTACCCACCTATACGTATTATACTCATATACATATGCACGGGAAAAGGAAAGGCGCCGTCCTGTGTGGCTGATATGTACCTACTGGTCGTTGTATCCGTCTTTCAGTCTTACTTATTTTTCATCCAACGAGTCTGGTATTAATTTATTTCTTTCGACACACGCGTCACGTCAATGAAATTTCATCTTTCGTCCAAGACAGCTTTAACGTAAACGTACATATATAGGTACACGAATAAATTGGAGCATGCATAGAGACACCTGTTGATTGTCTCTCAACGTGGGTGTAGGCAAAATAAAACATACCCACGTATATCTCGAGCAACTGTATTATTACCCGACGATAACAAAAAAAAAAAAAAAAAAAAAATAGACGACAGCAAGTAAGTATACGTGTAAGCGAAAAAGAGAGAAACAGACACGCTTCCGCCGAAGAAACATCTGCTCGGCTGTGCTCGACGGTTCCCTCTCACTCTCTTTTATTTCTTGTCCCCCACACTTAATAAAAAAAAAAGGTTGAATACTCGAAAATTTAATTCTTTGGCCCTGGTGCTGATGGATGCTGCTTTTGCTACCCGGTAAAATATACATCGTGCAAAGCCCCATCAGCATCAGAGGACACGTATATGTGTAATATATACCCTCTCGCGAAGAAGGGAATATATAAAAGAGGAAACGAGAGAGGAGGAGGAGGAGGCTCTCCTTTTATCTTTTTCTCCCATAGACTCCCTCTCGTAATATACCACGCGAAGAAAAACGTAAAAGAACCGCGTGTATTGTGCGAATGCATGTACTTTTTATGCGCGCACGCGAGAGAGAAAAAGAACACTTCATGTATCCTCTATTTTACTGTTTTTTTTTTTTTTTTTTTTTTTTTTTTTTTTTTCATTTTGGTCTTTGGGTTCGATTTTTAATACTAACTGCAAGCTCCCGATTTTGATCCGTTCATGTTCGTTTTTAAGCCGATCGATGTGTGTAAAGTACAGCTTTCAATAATCAATACTTTAAAAGAATAACAAGTACTAGAATTTCAATTTTATGAAGAACCTTCGGCTTTTTTTGTTTCTTTCAAGTGCTGATAAGAAAAACAAAAGGAGACAAATAGAAAACAATACAAAAAATCTTGTACTCTCTTGCAACAGCAGTAAATTTGGAAAAACCAAACGGAAAGAAAAAAAAAGAAAAAGTGGAAAAACAAGTTGTAAAAGCTCTACCACGAAGATGTGAAATACTGAGTGCAGTAGAATACGAAAGAAGTGAGTAAAGGATGAAGGAGAGGAGTGAAAAAACGCATAAATCAAAAAAAGAAGAGAAGACGACTCTCTGGAATGTTTGTAGTACCTAACACATATAAGTACTTGTACGTGTGTGTTATAAGTATACGCGTATGCCATTCTGGTAACAATAATCAAGTACTTGTAGGTACATACGGATGACTATATAAAAAATAAATAAAATGAAAACTATGATAATTATGAGGTGCACCTCGCGCTGCTGCAGAGTTTCCTTCGATCGGCTGCTGCATACCCTCGTCGTCGTCGTCGTCATCGTCTTGACTCCTTACAAGCGATTTAATGTTGTTTATCCTGTTTCTTCACCTCTGCATACTCAATACTGCACACATATGCACTGTGCAACGCACCACAATGCACATTTAACAAAAAACAAAAAAAATAAAATAAAATGACGAGAGATGATGGTGACGAGGGCACGGACAAATGCCGAAGGAATGAATCACCCTGGAGATGCTCATCAATAAGATGCTAGGGCCCTCCACTCTTCTTTCTTGGCTCCTAGTGCACACACTAATGCACGTTACTACAACACCACACGCACTTTACACACTGTAATATAACTGATGCTTGCTCCGAAACTCCAAAGTGCCCCCGTATGTATATAGGTATAGGTACTCTGGTGTGCACATATTATATGCACTCGCGCCCGCGTCTCTCCCACCTTTCTTTTTCTGTATATATGTTCGACACTGTGAGTTGCACTTATATATGCATGTAATAATCGATGTATTATTAAAATTTATTAATAATCTATAAATATGAGGATGAGATTACATCGAGTATCGAGACCCATGGCGTATGGTAATTTGATAATGGAGTCACGCCATTAACCATACGTCGCCCACTAAAGCGTACGAGTGCGCGACTCGATTGCAAGTATTGCAACGAATAACTGCGAAACTCTCTTTTTCTCTCTCGTACAAGTATCATACATTGTTATTGTTGTTACTATAATGATAGTGTGTTGTGTCGTTGAACATCGAGATTCGATTCTTATCAAGTGTGTCAATCGATTCAGCTCTTCGATACACTGAATTCCGTTCGAGATTGACCGTCACGTTACAATTTCGTTACTGTGATTATTATATATACTATGTATTTTTCGACTCATTTTCTTGTGACTGTCAATCTCGAACTGTAATTCGATGTATCGAAGCATGAAGCGATCGAGTTCCAATCGAATCTTGACCAGACACGAGGTGGGGGAATGTTTATTTTCCTCACATATCTTTTCGGAGCGCATACGAGTGATGTAGGTGTATTCAAAAATTTTCTAAAGTTTAGCGAATACTTACGTTCTTAGTTATGAAAATTAAAGGTGCTCGGACGGCCTGTTCGTTTTGCCAGTGGTATCCGTTATTCAGTAAAAATGCCGTCGAGGCCGTGATTCTAAGTTTACCCGATGACGTGTTGAAGTACGTGGAGCACGATGCCTTCTTGCTACCAGTCGAGGCGGCGAGCAACGTTAATTTGGCCAAAGATTCCGAGTGGTCGGATGGATCTGCTATCTGCAACGACGAAGTGGACGAGGTGAAGTATAGTATTTTTAAAAAGTTTGTTTTTCTGAATCTTACGTTGTATTTGTTTTGATGTCGACCATCTGATCGTAGGATGTCACTGTGCAACCCACATTCCCAGACTTTAGTAAACAAATCCAAGAGGTGATAGATGACTTTGGAGCTGTTTTTATCAAGACCAACTGGAGCACTCCCTCGGTAAGTGATTGTATAATTACACCGAATATGTAATAATGACGCAACGAGTGCGTAATTTGCTGGTTCTTTACTTTTTAGGATGCTGCTTGGATGTTGTCCACGAAAACTTTAAAATGCTGTTCCCTGGAGGATGTTTATTTACTTCTGAAGGGCTCAGACAGAATATCTCGTGACCTTAGCTTCGTGAGCAGCTGTGACGATCAAACGGAAAACTTATTGAAACCCTGCCTGATTTTGAAGAAATGGCGTGACATAGACCCCTGCTCGGAATTCCGGTGTTTCGTTATAAACCAAGAATTGGTTGGTAAGTGCGTTGGTGTTTGTTTTGAAAATCCTGCAAGCGGGAGTCAAATGCTTTATTCTGATGTTGTTACAGGCATTTGTCAAAGGGACACGTCTCAATACTACAAACACATTGAAACAGAAAAATATGACATTCAAAGAGACATCAAGAGCTTATTCACAGAAAAAATAAAAAACAATTTCTCACTTCGTGATTGTAAGCGCAATTTACTTTTTTATTTAATGCATACTCTGAGTAGTTTTTATTTTGCAATGATTTTTTTTTCAGATACTTTCGATGTCATAAGAATAAAAAAAGACAAGGTAAAAATATTAGATTTTGGATTGTTGGATAAATCGGCCACTGAAAGAACTCTCTTTACATTGGAAGAACTACACAGTGACATAAGAGAAAAACCCGAATTCAGATTTATTGCTGAAGATATGGGAATTCAACCAACCAAGTATTCAGGACATGTGTGTGTACCGCAGGAAATAAACGAATTTTTCCAGTCCATGGGCGGAATGTCTGTCATAGAAGCCTTAAGAAAAGTAATGGTTCGAAAATTTTTTTTTTTATTTAAAAAAAAGTTGTTTACCACGATATTTCAATTTTAATTTTTAGGAAGTTGAGGAACAAGAAAAGGAAGGCGACAGTGATGATGAATGAAATAGTTGACAAAAATAAATAAATTATTTAAATACAGAATTTTCAATTTTATTCTGCCAATACCCTTCATTTTTTCTCTATTGTTACATTACATAAAACGATTAAACACTATAATCTATCGCTTGAAAGAATTATTACGTAATATTGCAGTATTCCTCGTCGACGTCTCAATTTTGTTTTCATTTGTTCACCGAGCGACGCGTTTTTGTTTTATTTTTCATGTATAAAATATGTCTTATATTTACAATATGCTGCACCTGTTCAAATTTCTTTTTTCAAACCTTTTGCTCGCTCACTACTCTTGATACAACTTTTATCATTTTTTTTTTTGTGCTAAACGACAAATAAATAAATAGCGCTCGAAGAACAACCCCTTTCTTTCACATATGCGACGACGTAGCTTTTTTGCTTCTTTCATTAGAAATATTGAAAGTTGAACTACGGTACAACGTATAGCGCTTTTTTCGAATACTGGTAAAGTTTCTTGTGTGTATGTATAAATATACACATTCATTTATTTATATGTATGTATACTATGTTTTACTGCTTTATTTCAATTTTATTCTGTAATAACTTTTGTATTAAGTGACAAAACTTTAGCCTTAACAAACATACGTTACAAAAAACTCCTTAAGTTACATTATTTTCTTTATTAACAGCATTTAAGCAGCTTAAGTACCTGAAGCTAACTTTGGAAAACTTGTTTTTTTTTTTTTTTTTAATTTTTGTTTTTAATTATTTATTTTCAGTTTGCCATCGAAATGAGTAAATTTTTTTTGCCTTTTCAAAGAAATGCATCACGGCTCTTTAGCAAAAATTTGTTCATTACACAATTATCGACCCTACATTTTTTTCTCATGGCCCTTTTTTTTCTTCTTAAATGCGCTTGGTACGACTAAAGTTCGCGACAAAGGCCTCGCTAATTTCACTGACAGAAAATTTTTCAATCACTCATAGAACAAAGTCGTTTTTTTTTTTTTTTTTTAATCTCAAAAATACAAGTCTACAAATCTGCATTTCTTAAAATGTTTTTTCATCTTGTTTCCTCGGTATAGCTTTTATAAAGTAGCGATTTCAACGCAGAAGTTTATACACTGACAATATACAGGAAGATTTTCACAGGAGCCGCTACTCATACTTTACTAATTTTTCGTATTCCATTAAATTGGATTTTTTTTTCTTTTCTTTTTTTAATATTTTGCACGTGAGGGCGCTAACGCAGGGGTGAAAAATAAATTAAGATTCTCAAATAACTCCTACACAACAATAAAAATTAAGAAATGAAAATTTTTTTTAATGTAGTCACAACTAGCTTTTTTTTATAAATTAATATACATTATGTTGTTAAACTTGATTTATTTGTACATAATGGATCACGATTCTTTCAAGACATACAAAGTACACAAACTGCAATACTTTTAATAGAAAAAAAGTCACTGCAAAATTAGAGCAGTGATTTTTTTTCTCATAAACAACAAGTTTTTTTTTATTTACACATAATCAAAGAGAAGATAGAAAAAAAAATTAAATACAAATTATAATAAGAGAGAAAAGTTAAGTATAATAGAATCAAATAAATTAAATAATCTCGATATAACAGAAAAAAGAATAACTTGTGATGCAGTTAGAGGTTGAAGCTAATTCTTTTCCGTTTTCTTAGCATTAACGAAAAAAAACTGAAAAAAGTCGGTATATAAAAATAACGAAATTCAATCTTTACCACATAATACACACAAGAGACCACTTGCTATCATCATCATCATCGTGAGGCTAATGAAATCCTCGTTGAATGGCTACCAATATACTCCTGACAATTCTTGTCTAAAGAAAGGTCATTACAGCAAGATATTGTGATTTTAGAAAAGGGCTGAGAATTATGTAAGCTCAAATTTTTCGATTCATCCCTCAGTAACGAAACAACATATTCTATCTATCTACGTATATTTTCGTTTGTACGAATTATTAAATAAATCTTGAACTTGCCTGCATATGCATGGATACACATACAAATTAGCAGTTTCTCAACACTCATCCCTTTGACTAGATTGCATTTATATATCTTGAAACACATTCAGTTATTCACTTCGTTCTCTATGAAAGACAAAGCATACAAGTTCATTATGTCCAATCATGTCAAGAATACTTTGACATTTAAATAGTTCTCATTTTACAAAACCAGCTTTTTTCAATAAATATTATATAACTCACAAAAAAATAATCTAATTACTAATAAAATGAATTAGTAACAAAACTTTTTTTCACGATACATACAAAATTATGTTTTACATGTCGCTCACAAGTTAATGTTAACTATATTCTGAGAAAGTTTCGTACTATTTGTCGACTGTTCTCGTTTAATTGTCGCCTAAATGCTTAATAAATCGTTAAACACCTAAACTTGGTTTTACTTTTTAAAAGGATGACGCACTAGCGCGCATTTATTTATAATAATTTATGACTGTATACACATACGTACGTAAGCCTAGATTTTTTTAAATGTATGTATAGTTTAAAAATTTTCGTTTCTACTGATTTTTTCTAACTCTTTCCAAGATTTTCATTTAATCGTCATTAAATGAATTTACGTCTTACACGATTCATTAATATTTTTTCTATGTACACTGGAGATCCTTTACATCAAAGTATCAAGGAGAGACATGATTCTAGGTGATACGAGTAATGCTGTTTTTAAAAACTTTGCAACGATGACATTGCTATTTTTTTGATGGAATAAAAAAAAGTGTTTAATGCTTTTTAAGAATTCAATAGATAACAGTGTAAATACGCTTCTGAGATACATTTGCGTAAAGACAGATTTACATGGTTGATTAACAAGTATATCCATTAAATAATCGAAGCTTCACAATACGATGCCAAGTATTAAACACTTTGAGGTATTCATCGGTAAGAATCTTTGAAAATGCAAAGGTCACCGAAAGCCGAAAAACAGGCATCCTCAAATAAACTAACGAGATGCGTTGCTTTCACAAAAAAAAGTGATGGAAAGCTCCACAAGAACGACCAGAAAACAAAGACTTGCCGCCGTGATACCAAAGAAGCCTCAACGAGAAAGCAGTAACGAGTCTCGCGAACAAGGGAGAATCTACAGCAGTAGCAGCGGACACGTTGAGGCTAAGACTACCTTTTTTTCGTAAGCTGTTTGGTCTGCTGTTGTTGGTGTGGTTGTTGCTGCTGCTGCTGATTTGGCTGGTGGTGGTGCTGTTGCTGCTGCTGCTGCAGCTGCTTCATCGGAGCTTTCTTCAATTTAGCGGTCGGCGTCACAGGAACAGTAGCTCCCGCTGCACTCCCATCAGGCTGCAGCTGCTGTACTTGCGGCTGTTTAGTCATCATAATTTTTTTAGGCTTGGCCCGTTCTGGCGAGCCATTGCAGCAGCCACAGCCCTTTTTCACGTGTCCCCGTAAGCTTGATCTGCGAGCGGTGGAGCAGTGATCTATCGGGCTAGCTGTTCCACTGAACCTAGAGTTACCGATAGCCGCTGTCGCCAAGGCTTCGTCGTCCGACGGGTTCATGTCGTATATTTTATCAGCTGCGGGCACCGGACTCGACGACTCATTCTCGCTAGTGGTGGTCGTGGCTGGTGTTAGAGTTGCCGATACTCCCGGCATGATGGTTTTCAATCTTTTGGTTGCAGAATTGGCGGTTATAACGCTGCTCAGCTTTGATTCTCGGTGATTAACGGTGATTCTTCGCATCGACAGTGTCTTCTTTTTAACCGGATAAATGGCGTGATCGACGGGTGTTACCTTCACCGATGGCGCCGGTCTCGCAGAACTCACGGGTCCTAAACCATTGCCGATGCTAGAATTTTCCGTTCCATCGAGCTCTAAATTCGAAACAAAGGACTTGATTATGCTCGTCTCATCATTTTCTTCCTCGTCGTTCATCTCGTCGTCGGAGCTCGATCGCGTTCGCTCCGACGTTGGGCTACCCCAGTTAAGGTTCGTTGATTTCGTATCACTAATCGTAAAAAGAAAGAAAATTGAATAAAAAAAAAAAAAAAAAAAAAAATGAAAACGCCGAATAAAATATTAGCACGTAACATGTACTTACTTGAAAAAGTCGCTGGCCCGTCGGACAGGCAGGCTCCGCTTTTTGCTGTTGGAATACGTGTATCTGTGCGTCATGAGCAATGGCCCAGCGATGGGCGACAGCGGCGACGGAATAGTCACGTTATTGGCAGCGGTATCCTCCAGCAGAGTCAAGCTCTCGTCCTCCTCTCCAGAACTAACTGCCGTCGAGGAAACAGCGTTGTTACATCCAAGTACCGCACGCCTAGCCACTTCCCCAACAATCGATCGAGACGACGCGTCCAGGACAATCGGCCTGCTGTTGTTGTTGTTGCTACTGATGCTGCTGTTGCTACTGCTGCTACTAGGCCTGTCATCGCGATTTTTATCAACGTTATTTTTCTCAGTCTTTGGCACAAGATCGTTGTTGACGACGGCTGGGGAGAGTTGCGAGAGATCGGAGTAACTGTTGGATGCGTCGTCCAAGCTCAGCCTCAGCTGTTTAGCCATGGTTGTGCCGCGGTGGTCGGCGGAATCTAAGCTACGCTTGTTTCGCTTGGCGGTATTTTCAGCCTTCGGCCTGGCAGGTCGCCTCTGCTGCGGTTTCCTCTTCAGCTCGACGGTCGAGGCAGCGACTGCCGGAATGGCTGCCGTTACCGGACTCGCGCCCCTACTACCAGCACTCGAGGTCACAACAGGATCCAGTGACTTGAAGAACGATACATTTGTGTTGCCGTAGGACTTGGGTCCAGTGGAGCTGTTTAGGCTCTGGCTGCAGGTAGCTTCCTGGGACAAGTGATCGTAGGCAGGTGAGTGATTTGCATCAAACAGCTGCAGATCGGCCTCGGGAAAGAGGTCACTCGTGCTGGGTTCGTCGACCCCCAGGTCTTCGCATTCTTCGCTCAAGCTTTTCTGCAACCTCAGCTCGCGCTCGATCATCTGTTGTTTACGCTCCATCAATCTCTGCTGATTCTCCTGCTCAGCGGCTGTCCTCGGGCTTGCCGTCTGCTGCTGTTGCGACACCTTTGGACCTTTCGCTATCGCAGTGAATTTTGTTCCCTGGTACGGCTCGACGACAGAATTGTTGATGCCAACGTGGAAGTACTTTTTCGTTGTTAACGTCGTCGATGTCGTCGTCGTCGTTGTCGACGTTGTCAGTGTCGTCCCCGCTGTCAAGACGCCACTGCTCGACATTTCGACACCCTGGCCTTTATCGATTATCTGTAGCACGCTGTTGTTCATCGATGTGCCGGCCGAGTCGCTACCGAGTACCTTGAGCTGCTGGTCCACCTCCATCGTGGCACAATTTGTGGGGATGTAGCGCCAGGGCGTGGTGTCGGGCGACGACTCGCCAGTTTTCCGTTCCTCGCAGGGATCCCAGGCCTCCTGCAGCCGTGCGTTGCCGCACAACAATCCGTTTTCCACCTTTGCGCTTTCGTCCAAACTGCTGTTCTCCAGAGCTAAGCTTGGCACCGTTGACGAGGCCGACTCTTGGCTATCAGAGCTACTTGGACCACCGCCTATGAGAAACTGCGAGGTGGCATCTAGACTTGCCGACGAGTTTGCCGCTACTGGGCTGGATGTTGCCGGTACTGTCGCAGCAACTAGTGACGTCGATTCGTGGCCCAACGAAGCTTCTGGAAAAGGAGATGGAGAAAACATTGGATTATACACTTTGCTCTGCGAAGTCTCGTAAAACTTAGATTCGATGCTAACACCAATTACCGTTAAATTACTTAACGACTACTAAAATAATACGGGAAAACATTTTTCTACTTAAATTATTCTACGCACTTCAAATTTCACACTGCAAATATTTTTATTTACAAAGATAATCGATGACATTATTGTAATTTTTTGTTTTCCAACAAAATATGTCCAATTATCTTATAGTTATGCAAGCTATTAATTTAAAGCTTAATATTATACTGGATTAAAAAAAAAAAAAATCTAGAAAAAAGGACACAATTTTGAAGCATTATTTGATACCCATACGGTGTCGGTTAAAAATATAGTATTACTTATAAATACGAAGTATTAATATCAAATAAAAATTATAAACCACAAATGTTATGTACCGAAAATCGATATAAGCTGCATTCGTAGATCTGTAAAATGGCATGCAAATAAAGTAATAAAACGAACTGATGCAAACTCCGTGTTATATCGACCGCAAACAAAAAGCTGTAAGAAAACAAATAAAAAATAAATAAGTGACAAGCCAGTGATGCGCTAACGTATTAATTACACATTGAAGAAGAAGAAAAAACCACCTGTAAAGTGATTGGAGCCACAATTAATACAACTACGAGTGAGGGGGAGGGGGGGGGGAATAAAAAATAAACGAAGAGTGCAGATAAAGAACACTAAAAAAAAACCAAAACAGCAAACAAAAAACGCAATCGACAAGCTCTTGGTCGGCCTCCTTACCGACACTGGCATCGCATTGACTGTGCGAATCAGCTCTCACACCAGCGACAACCACCGATTGCTCGGAGTTATCTTTCTGATTAACAACAACCGGCCTGGTCGTCTCCTCGACAGCCGTACGAATGTCGTCGGGTTTTGGCTTTTTATGCAGAGCCAAGCCGTCAACCGCATTAGTCGACGCGAACGCCAGCGCGATCGTTGCCGCCTTCTGATTCGTATCGGCTAGCGCCTCCTTGATCGCTGGCGTCGCCAGACACACGACTTGTTGCGTCTGCTGAGCGCTATCGACCTTCGCGGGCAGCTTCACGACCGAGGAATTGAAGATCCTCTGGCCGATATTGGGGTTGGTCGTGATGACGCCCGAGTGCTGGAGCAGCCCGATCGTCGGCGACTTTGCCTCGACGCCCGACTTGCTCGAATCGTCGAACTTGTCGCCGCCAAGCTCCTCACTCGCGAACCTCACCACGCTCCCAGCCTGGGGTATAATGATCTGGCTCGTCTGGGCCAGTTTCGCTTGTTGCTGCTGTTTCTGATGTTGCTGCTGTATGACCTTGTTGGCCTGATTGAGCAGCGACTGGAGGACGAAAGTGTTGGACACGGCGCCCGAGGCGCCGGTGCTCGAGCGAACGGCGGGAACAGCCGCGAGGAGTTTCGAGCCACCCGAGACTACGGTGATTTGCTGGCCGCTTTTAACAAAGTTCATCGGGAGCATGAAGTTCGTACCTGACACGAGAACCGCCGTTCCCGTTGTCATTTTGCCCGTAACCGAGGCTAGAGCTTCGCCCATACTTTTCGACTGCACCGCTGCTTCCTGGACGATTACGGCTCGCGCATGGTTTGCTACGCCTGGTAATAATTTTTTTTTTTTTGTTTTTGATTCGAATAGTTAAAGCTAGGACCAACATTTAAAAGACTGGGCAAAAATGAAAACATGAGAAACCCAACTCACCTGTACTCGATTCGGAAAATATGATGTTCCGCCTCTTGGTGGTTACATCGACGCCGTCGTTCGAATCGCTCGTCGTATTTGACGTTCTCGAGTCATTCGGGTTTCCAAGGGTAGCATTATCGTTGGTACCACTTTGGCTGTTGTTGTTGCTACCACCAGCGAGGGTCTCCTCGCACGCGGAAAAGCTAGCCGACGGGCTGTCCTGGATGTGCATCAACCCAGAGCCACTAGTCCCACTGATGATACCGCTGCCAGCACCGCCTCCGCTCGAATCCTCGCTGCCCGTGGTACGGGAAGGGTCGTCAGCGCTGGGGCTCGGCTCGGGAGTCTGACCTGACGATGACTTTGATTTGCCAGAGCCAGACTTTTTGCGCTTGGATGTCTGATTGGGATTCGTGGGTGGGTTCGAGCGTCTGCGCGGTGCTGGCTTATTGTTTAAATCCGGCGAGTTGCGCAATTGTTCCGCGTACTGGCCCAAGATCGCGTATATCCTCTGCGTCGTCTCGGGATCCTCTTGGGGCTTCTGCTGGGTTGTTTTAGGCATCGGTGGCGTTTTCACTGCCACTTGAGAACTTGCCTGTTGCGCAACAAGACCAAAGAGATGCGCGTTAAAAACATTTCATCAATGTATATACGTATGTATCAGAATGAATGGTCAACAACAACGTGTCAATCGTATAATGTGGAAACAAAAGAAAAAAAATAAGATAATTATGTACACCGTGCGTGTACAAGTTGTGCGAAACTTTTACGGAACAGTCGCAAATCGAGAGCAGTATCGGCTCTTTGGAAAAAAAAGTCGGAAGAAAAGACCACACGGTTATAATGTGAGAAAACAAAAAAATCAATTGGCTGCTTACTTTGACGGTCTTGGGGGCGGCTTTTTTCGCGCTTTTGGAAGACGACTGGGATTTACTCGTCGGAGTGTGCGAGGGCGTAGCGGCGGGCGCCGGGGTGACGCAGGGGCTCGACGAGCTTTGCGAGGTGACGCTCAAAGCGGGCGACGCCGCGGGCTGACAGTACGTGACCGTGCTATTGCTAGCGGGCGAGGCGTTGGTTGCGCCACTCGCAGCGCAAGAGTTAGCGTTCGTCTTAGTCGACGTCATCAGGGATACCTTTTGCGAGTACACCTAATTGTCAGCAGAGAAGAGAATTCAATTTTAATCCTGGATTTAACTTTTTTTTTTCTTTTATTCCAAAATGCATTTAGTGAGACATAAAGAAAATAAGAGACAGAGGTGAGAAAGTACGATGTTCAGAGAAAAGAGAGAAAAAGGAGAAAAAGAGAGAAATTAAAGAATTTTAAGGAAGAGTGGTAAGTCGAGAGACGTTAGATGGTAATTTCATTAGCGATGAATCGTTTAAAGATGATCGAATGATTTAAGTTTTTGTGTCGCGTTGGATTAAACAATGTAGTTACGCGCAATTCAGAGTCTCAATCATAAATAAGAAAAGAAAATAAAATAGAGAATAATCGTTTGAGCAGAAAAATGCAATACCTCTTGCTGCTGTTGTTGGAATGTAATATTGACATTACTGGGAAACTCGACGGCACAGCTGGGTGATTGTGAGGGCTGCATGAGCAGCTGTTGCGTCAGCGAATTGACCGAACCCTGCTGACCCTGGGACTTTGCGTTGCTCTGTACGGTCTGAGTTTGCGTCTGTACTGTCGTTGTGTCGGCTGTTGTCGACTGGCTGATACCTCGCTCCTTCACTTGTTCCAATACACTCTCAAACTCTCGCAGTTGTTCCAACGTTGATGAGCTTACCTGCAAGAGTAAAGTATTGAAAATTAAAAAAAAAAAAGTCAGTAAAAAGTAATGGACGGAGGAAAACTTGGATTATGGCACGTACTTGATTTGGTATATCCATGGTCGAATTAATCAATGAATCCGTAGACCTAACGACGGTCGGTTGTTGCGCTTGGGATTGCTGGGGCTGCTGGATCCTCGAAGTCAACACCTGGATCGCGCCTCCGGCAGTACGAAAGGGCGCCGTTCTAATGATATTGAGTTTCACCTGGACAGGCGACCTTGTATTTGACAGGGAAGCCGGGATGGATATCAACTGGGTGCCGGAGGTGCTTCCACCAGCTATCGATACTGGAATCTTGTGCGTGTAGATGACACCAGGTGTTGAGTTCGGTACGATCTGAACCGTTTGACCAGTAGCACCCGAGCCGGTGCTACTCGACACGGCGCTCTGAACGAGGTTTAAAATCTGCCGCGTGCTCTGAGACACTTGGAGGTTCGGAATGTTGGCAAGGCTGACGTTTTGCGCGGTTGTTGGTACGGTCTTTGCCAAGTTCGATGAAACCGTGGCTGCTGATTTGTTGACTATGCGCTGCTGAGGCTGCTGCTGTTGGACGTTGGATGCTGCTCCAGCTGGTGCATCTGTAAAATTAATAATGACCTCGGTTTAAACGATAGCTTAATAAAAATGCAAGTTTCAGACAATGTAGACTGGTGCGTACCACGCGCGTCAGGTGCCGAAGATGATGGAACAACCGTGGACTCTGTTGATAAGGCGCAGATGGTCTTGCCGAACGCCTGTTGAAATTTCGGTAGTCCAGTGTTCCTGGTGGTCTGCGTTTGAGTCGACTTGCCATCGGAGCCGGATACGGTTACGATCGGTATTTGTCTGGTAAAGCCAATGTTTCCATCCTCGAAATTTTGAACCGACAAGATTCCTCGCTGGCCTGTGACGATGCTAGGACTCACCAGGTGGTACGTGCCATCTGGTTTGCAAAGAACGAGCTGCTGTTGTTGCTCCATGGTGTTATTTGTCGATGGAGAGGGGGATTTTTTGGACGACGGACTAGAGACGATTCTCGGACTTGATAGGACAGCCAGAGCGACCGTTCTCTCGCCATCCGCTAAATTCAGCGTCACGGTATTCGTCGAATCAACTGAAATACAAAAATTGTCAGTTGACGTACAAATTTTATTACTTTTCGAAAAGAATCGAAGGTATTTACCTTGAATCGGAGATGTGTCTGGCGGTGGATTCGTCTCCTCGCCCACATCCTGAAGTGACGATGGCCTGGGGACAGGTGGTGGTGTTTGGCCTGCCGGGCTCATTCCTACGCCACTGTCGTGCCCGCTCGTAGACGACGGCGTGCCCGGCAACTGTATCGTACTACTACTCCGATTATTCGCACTACTGCTGCCACGAGGTGGTGTATTACCCGAGGCTGTCGTCGTACTGGCCGAGTTGGGACTATTTTGAGAATTGTTGCGCGACAGTTGTACAACGTTGACGGTCGACTGTACGCGAGGCAGCACCGAGAACTCCATCGAATGCATGCCCGGCACCGTTTTCGTCAGTATGTCTGTGAGCTGTGACTTGGCGAGGTCGGATTTCGGAGACACTGTTTTGCGACGCCTCGCCTGTTGACCAAAAAAAAAAAAAAAAATGAATGTGCTTGTTCATGGGTAACGTTTACTTACGCAAAGATCAACTCATAGAATTCAAAGACTTACCGGTGCCTTCTGCTTAGCAAAGCTGGTGAGAGCGCTTTTAGTGAAGGGTATACTCTTTTTGATGTTCCTAAGCTCATTGCTGAGATCACCGGCAGTGACGACCGACTGCTTGTTTTTCCGTTTCTTCTGTTGCACAGACAATTTTTTCGGCACCTTGTCGTCGACCCTCCTCAGCGAAATCTTGGGGTTTAGATTGAGGGTACTCAGCATGGGAGCAAACTTCTTGAGCTTGGATTCGTTCTCGTCCACATGGCCGTTCTCCCGCTTTGGCTGGATCCCATTGGCGATCGGTGGCTCGGCCTTCTCGTTATTGATCTGGGATAGCTTCTTGCCGTGCGGCCTGAACATCCGCAGGGACTTGATGACCTCGGGATTACTCCTCTTCTCGGAGATTATCCTCTGGGCGGCGTCTATGATCGTCTCGCACTTGTTCTCGTCTGTGTCAACCGAGAACAATGTGGTCATTATGCCATTTCTCGCGTCAGCCGTAACGTTGCTCTCAGCGGCAGGCCGAACGTTCTCGTTGACGAGCATATGAAATTTTTTGACCGAGTCGACCGGGAGCTTCGTTTTCCTGGGTCTGCGTTTGGTCACCGACTTCTTTGGCCTAGCACGAACCCCCGAGAGTAGCTTTTTCGAGGTCCTTTTTAAACCATCGCTCCCCAAACTACCGCTCATCTGACTATCCTGGGTATTGATATCGCTCTCTCCCGAACTAGAGAGTATTACTTTTTTCTTGAGCGAGCGCCCAGGCCTTCGATGCCTGCTGCCGTCGAACTCGCTCTCCGATGACTCCAACCTTGGCACTTTCCTCGGCCTACGGCGCTTTTGCGTGGCCAAGATTATCTCGCTGTCCGTGTCCGAGCTGTCGTCGAAGTTCCTGCTTCTCTTTTGCGTCCTCGTCGCCTTAGCCGCCAGCGACTGCTGGTGCGCCTCGGACTCTGAATAATCCGAGTCGTTCCACCGCTCGTAGCCCTTCTCGATGCCGATGTACTGGTCGTCGACCGAGTTGTCGTCGTAAGGGCGATCCTTGAACTGCGAGTAATCGATGTTCAGGTACTTGAGCTCCCGGTTCGTGTTGCGCATCTCCTCGGCGTTTTCCAAGTACCTCTCGCAGAGCTCGCTCAGCTCCTTCCAGTCCAGCCACCAAGTGAGCACGTGATAGCGCTGACTGCTGAGCACGACTGCCAGATCGTCGCACACCTGGGGACTGACGCCCAGCTTCTCACCGTCCAGCATCTGGTTGGGCACGGCTTTCTCGTCGTAGTTAGCCGAACCAGTCATAGTGTCGCCTTTTATCAGGATCAAAGCTTCCTGGTGGCCCTTCTTGTCGACAATGGACGATTTCTGAACCAACGATCCCATATCGGAGGGCCTCCTCTCGATCGAATCTGTCGTTATCACCGGGAGGACAGCCTGTTGTTGTTGCGACAAAGAACCATCCTCGGCTGGTGTGGGATCTGGCTTCTCTTCCTTCTTTATCGTGAACGTGTCGAACGACATTGGCATCGAAGCTCCCATCCCGTTCTCCGTAGACGCCGCTTGAGCCTCGTCTTGACTCCTCGACTCGTCTTCGGGCTCCACCTGTATCGAAAAACGCGCGGACGTAAGTTCACCGATAACCACCATTTAGATGAAAAAAAAAAAACGATGCACCACCTTAATCTCAATCTTCTCTTCGCGGCTGCATTTGCCACAGGCGACGGCCAAATCCCTGATACGCTCGTAACATTCCCGGGTCGGGTGCAGCGAGAACGCGGTGAGCACGCACTCGCGCGCTATGCCGACGCTCTCGTGCACGTAGTCGGCGAGCTTGAGGAACTCCTGGCTGAGCGTTCGGGCTATCTCCTGGGACTTTTCCTTGTTCGCCTTGCACTTTTGATTCTCCAGCTCGTTCATGTCCGAGGTGAGGGCACGTATGTAGAGCTCGATCACCAGGGGCTTGATCGCGCTGCCAAACTGAAAACACACACAAAATAACGATGGCACCTGTGTAACAACAACAACAACAACAAACACGTGTTGTGCCGAAGTGTGCATGCAAATCGGCAAATAATTAATGGATGAGAGACGTACGTGGCGAGCGAGGACGCCGCAAAAAATGTAAATGTGTTGGGCGCTCTCGGCCGGCTCGCTGAGCTTCCTAACGATACCGGGCAGCATGGCAGCCCCGTCGTCGTCTTTGCTCTTGGCGTGCAGCAGGGCCCACGAGTTGAGTATCTGCTCGAACGTGTCCGAGCCGACCTCGACGACGGGCCGGATCATGCCCATCGTGACGAGGTAGGGGGCCACCAGTTCGGCGACCTTCATCGAGTTGCGCCATACCCGGGCCGTCCCGTACTTGGTTGGCTTCTCCCCGCTCAATCTCTGCATGAGCTCCAACCCGTCCTTCAACTCCATGAGCTTCAGCTGACCGACAATGTCCTGGGTGCGCTTCAGCTTGTAAAGCAGTACGACGTACACGTCAATCATGTAGTGCACCTGGCTGGGATCTGTCAGCGAACGTAGGCGCTCGTTACGCCGCAACGAGCGGACGCAAGCTGCTGCGAGGTTCACCGCCATGTCCTCGCAGCGGTCCTCGCACAGTATTTTCAGCCTCATCTTTAATAATTCACCTTTCTCTTGGTAGAAAAATTCTGCAACATACACCCACACAATGACGTTACAAGGGATTTGTCGTGGCAAACAGCTGCTTCTTGTTGTTTTTAGCGCACAATAACAATTTTATCGCGGTAACTTGGGTGGTAGTGATAGACCGGCAAATGGTAGCGAGAAAATGACTACGGTTTCTGAGAAAAGCGAGAGGCGCCGTTTCGATTGTGTACGGAGGTGTATGGCAGTCAATTGCCGAGAGAGACTTGAAAAATAACTGGTTGGCCGATAACGCGCTACACTCGGGGAAAATATATTCAAGTGTTCTCACCGGCTGGTGTGCTTGCCTCAGTTGTAACGTGTATACGTGCACACGTGTGCAAATCGTACCGTCGTGTGTTTGTGCGTGAGCGCGTGCACGTGTACCAAATTTTTTTTTTTTTTTTTTTTTTGACTGCTGTTGGCAAGGAATTGAAAAAAAAAGTACTCGGTAATATAAATAATACTCGTAAGGTACACATCGAGTGCAGGTGGTGTTATTGTCTGGCGACGAGATCGGCTTGGTCGCTGCGATTACGGTATACGAGGGCGAGCTATCTCGAGAGAGAATCTAATCGAGTTTGCATCGAGTTGGAAAGTTTAATCGCTTGAAATTGCGAGGATTAAAAGTTTGGTTCCCCCCCCCGCCCTTCTTCTTTCAAGAGAGAAAAAAAAAAAGAAAATTCCAGAAAAGTTTAACCATGGGAATGGCAACAGTTTCTTCTTTTCTTTCATCCACATCGTGCGCGTGTATACACGTGGTAACGCTGAATCATAATCACCGTGATATTTGTTGTAACGATCGTTACGAAACACCGCCAAGAGAGCGAGTTTGGGGGAGAAAAAAAAAAAAAAAAAAANCCCGTCGTCGATATGAAAGGTTTGGTCGTTTATTTGTTTATTCCAGGAAAATTCATAGTAAAGGTCAAATGTTTTTTTTTTTTTTTTTTTTTTTTGGTGGGGGGAAAAAAAAAAAAAAAAAAAAATTCATATACGTGTATAGCGCGTGTACACGGCAGGTTTTTTTTTTATACATTCTTATCGGCTCGTCATGTGTGAAAACACAATAACGATAAGTGACGCAACAGGTGTGTTGTGGCACGATGCTCCGAGCGTGACCTAAAAATAAAATCCCTTAACAGTGAAAACGGGGAGAAAAATCATACCTTCCTCCTCATGTTCCGAGTTGAGGTGGTCGTTGAGTATACTAACGAGGGCCGGCTTGGCCCAGGGATTCTGCACGAGCTCGATAAGGTCCTGGCAGCGCTTCGCCGGCGCCGGTTGCTGCTGCTGGCCGAGGAGCGCCACGCACCGCTGCAACGTCACGTTCAAGTGGGTCTTGGTCGCCGCCGCGAGTTTTGGCCACTCGCCGCGCAATACCAGCTGGAGCGTGTGCCTGTAATCACATTTTTTTTTTTTCTTTTTTCCATCCATTTCGGAAAGTTTATACATTTACGGGATAGTGATATACATCATCTGAAATAGGAGGGAGAGAAAAAATTTTTTTAAAATGGGCACTGGCGTGTCTGCATCTCGAGGTGTATCTCCTCTCGGGTGGAGAGACAGTCAAACAGATGGTACACGTAGAGATGATAAGGGGAAAACAAATTGAGGCGCACGAGGTGCGGAGATGAAATTTTGGAAAGAAAAATTCAACAGAGAATAAAATAGAGTTGAAAAAAGAGAGGCAGAGAGAAAATGGTAAAATATATATATATATATAAAGTTGAGGAGTTACTCACTCGTTGGCCCATTCTATGAGAGACTGGGTCGACTCGGGGCAACTGGCAATGTAATTGGTGACATGCTCCCAGCCGGCCAAAAGTGCATTCACCTTGTCAATGTACTTTTTCTTCTTGTCGCTCAATGTCGCTTCAAACCCCTTTTTTTTTTTTTTTCATTTCCGTTCCAAGATGTTGTAGTAGTTGGGCGACAACGACACATACAGCCCAGGAGGAGAGGGACAAAGAGAAACAACAAAAAACAAACAAACAGAAACACACATTAATTCTCCTCTAGCGTTTGGCTGCGGTTTTTTTTTTTTTTTTTTTTTTTTTACAATATATCGTGTGTATCTTCCACTATGTATGAGTAAATCCACAAATTTTATCATCCCGTTTTGGTCACCCATTTTTTTATGAAATTTTTTTTTGACAACACCCTCGAAATGAGGTATATTTTGCTCACAATGTCATGTTATTTCCGGGAAAAATCATAAACACGGGTTTTAGTGGAGGTGACACCCTTTTTCCGGGACTCACTTATTAAAATTATAATATGATTACGTAGATATAATAATTACAGTATAAAAAAAAAAAAAAAAAAATTGTCATTACCATTGAAACACGTGTTTGCGATTTTTTGTACAATATAACCCTTATCTCGAAGGTGTGCCTCAAAAAAAGTTTTTATTAAAAACAGGACCGTCTTTGTGTTTTTTTTTTTCATATAAATATACGACTGTCTGTTTTTGCGCGAACAGCTGGATAAACAAGGTAATTCCTAGAGTTTTATTCCCGCAGAGAGAGATTGATTTTAGAAAAAAAAAAAAAAAATTATCGATCAGCAACATTCGTGTTGCACAAAAGCTCGTTACAAAAACACTGTGCTAATGATTTGAGCATCTATTGAGAGAGAGGTGCAGCGATGAGGCTTTTATCTATTTATTTTTTTTTTTTCTATACACATCCTTTTCTTCCAAATACATTTTGTCTCAAATGTATGCATGAAAATCCATGACATAATGCGCGCACTGGATAAAAATGGAAAAAACAGCGTGTGACGTTGTTGATAAAAACAAAAGCTTCGAGTTATGATCGAGTGTATTGGGAAAACTGCGATTTTCCGGGCACCTCAACGAAGGAAGATCAATAAATCATTTTCTCTATCGGCCGTTTTGATCAACGGATGATAATTCATCAACAATATTGACGAGCGCAATGAAACAACTCGAGTTTGCGAGAAGAAGAAAAAAAAGTTATTAAAAATCGATAAGTTCCCTCGAAACTTGCTTTCTCTCTCTCTTATTTTAATTTTTTTTTTCCTTATCTTCTTTCGAAAACAGGCACGTTCATTTGACGCATCGAGCGTAGGTTATTTTAAAAGCAATTAATTTTCACGTTTATTAAAATATAACGAGCGACGGTATGCGGCTCTCATGCGTACGTATTTTTCCTATCGCCGAGAGTAGGTATAATTATGTTTATCGTTTTGAAAAACTCCTTGTCCTTGGATGTACAAGTTTTTCGATGCGATAAGAGAATAAAGGCGCAGTTCTTGGGTTAATCATAGTTAAAGTGCACTCGAGGCGCGAACATTTAGATTAGGATCGCACGCTGTTTCAGTATTGTTTAAATAAAAAAAAAACTACGATTCACAATAGATATTTCAAGTAATTTGTGGTGTCATCCGATAAATGTAGACTTGGGCTCTCGAATACTTTTTCCATCTTTGTTTTACTATCGATGTTGGAAGCATTTTTTTCTAATCACTTCTCATAACGCAGTGCTTAGGAAAAAATTTATTCCAGAAAAAACACAACACAAAGAAAAATAAAAAATACAATTAAGAAACAAAAAGAGTTAAAATGATTCGTTTAATATACGTAAAATTTATTTAGTACTTGTATACCAGAAAAAAAGGGGTTTTTCTCGATGTTTTGCTGTGAATAGCGGCGAATGAAAAATTCACTTGGCAATCAAAATGCAGTTTTATTCGGGAAATATTTTATTACGTACGAAGCGAGAAGAAGCCTTTTTTTGTACAAGTCACGTCTTATATTCATCCACCCGAGGACCGAAAAATCAAGCGACGGAGGTGCTACTTTGAAGTCGAAGGGCGGAAAAATAATTTTCTTTTCAAATTGTGTGCCCAAGGTCTAGGTAAGAATACGAATGGAAACGCGTAGATAAATACTATATATACATCAATGAATAATCAAATAGTGTACAAATCCTGACAAGCCGTTAATTTACCATAAACTGAAAAAACAGCACAACCAACCCTTACCATTGTATCCGCAATGTCCATTTTCACAAAAACTCGTCTCAAACTACAATACACGCTGGACTCCGAACTATCTCACAAACAACTATATCCAATTAACAGACAGGCTATCAGGCAAATGGTCGAGGCTTCTTCTACACACGTGGTGGGGGGTGTTTTAGTGGGGGGTCAGCAAACGTGTGCTGTCAACACACGTATACCTATTCTTAATCGAAACTTTTGAGTGTGTGGTGTTTCATTAAACAACTTGAGGTGACTTGGGCACTCAACTGCTCGACAAAAGTCCACGAAACTTATATCCTGTTGCACATTAATTTCCAATCAGGAAAGTTACTGAGGTCATCGATATACAACTTTCGAAAAATCACCGATTAATCGTCAAGAAATCGAATATGACTCCGCAATTACTCGACATACCTCGAACAATAAAATTGATTTTTTTCACAAGAAACCTATAGGATTTTTAGAAAATTCCAAAGCCACCTCAATTTATTGTGAATGTATTATACTGTAACATTCAACGAGTTGTGTGACCTCATCGATGTACCATACATTATATAAATACCTTTTCTAAAAATTTTTCACACATAGTGACTCTTTCGACCTCAAACTGCTTGGTCTATGCAGATGACGTATCAAATTATGTAAAAAAAACTGTCAACAACAAGCGGGACTTGCATGATTATGCCATTTCCGGCACGCCCCCGTTAAAAGTCGCCCCCGTCGAGTCAATTTCTGATTTTGGAGCCACACTCGACGCGCTTGTACAGACAAAGTTGTTACCAAGTCCCTCTACAGGTCCACCCGATGTTTTAAGAAACCGGAGCCCATTATCATTTAACTTGTGCATCCATAATATCGTCACCCCCACCCTCCCACGCACACGATACTTTCAACAAAGTCAATCGGCACCTCTTAACTTTTATTATCCATTACTTAAGTATAAGTATGAAATATCATGTATTTTGCGAATTTATCTCAAGTTGAATGAATATAAGTGATCATCAATACCTATATATTCGTGAGGTCAAATGATTAAATCGAGCGTGAAAAGCATTGGAAAGGAGAAAAGGCGGGACCGAAGTAAATGAACGGCGAGTGTGTACCTATATACACTAATTAGCCGAGGAAGGAAATCGTCCGTATATCTAAAGGCATCGGATGACAAACGGAACTTTAATTTTCAGCGTCATCCCTCAAACAGTTGGAAAAAAAGCTTGACAATGCACGTAGACGTAATTCAAAAACCTTGGACACTCCAAGTACCTACGTCGCACCTAAATTTTGTGAAGAAGCGCAAAAGAGCAAAACTTTGCCACCGACGACACGCGGCGGTTATTAATTAGCCGCGGCTATAGCGGTGGACGCGAGTTTCATGGGTTGGGCCCACGCGACATAAATAAACGAACTTGTAAAATCTCTTCCTTGCGTATTTTTTTTTTTTTTTTTTTTTTTTTTCACACGCATCGCTTCTACCCTCCCCAAGGTCTCGAACCAAAAAACATCCAAGAGGCTCCAATTAAAAATCGGTTCACTCGTTTGCGCTTCACCCCCAACTCGCTGTGTAGGCCAATGAGATTCGTATCCCTATGTACACATGACACGGGAGCTTTTCAAGTGGGCGCGAGAAAGCGATTACACGAGCGTGAGGTGGGTTTTTTTTTTCCCCCCATCTTAGGGGCTTGGCCCACCGAGCGATTGTTTTCTTGGGGAGGTATCCTCAAAACTAATATATATGTACAAAGGGGAAAAAAAAAAAAAATAAGAAAATTACACTGAATCTACGAGCTTGGGCTTTCGTCGTCTGAAAAATTGCACTACCCGTGCCAAAAGGGGGAGGGGATGATGGCTGAAAGGGTCGTGGCGACGGAAATGGAAAAAAAAAGTGCCAGTGGCGAGTGGGGCGAATTTCCTCGAGAAAGAATCGGGGTTTAATCGGTTGGAGCTGGGGGGGGGGTGGTAGGGGGAAAAGGGGGGCTTTGAAAGCAGGGAGAGACGGCCACTTTGAAGATTTGACCTCGAGGGTCGGGGAGGGGAGGTCAAGTATACGAGGGTTTTCCAAATTTACAATTTCTTTTTTTTTTTTTTTTTTTTTTTTTTTTTTCCATCAACATCGTCACCACGGGTATACGTGTATACATTATGTACACGCGACAAGTGAAAGTCTCGTTTGATCGTAAGGTCGATTTTCTTGCGTTACATTCTTGAGTTTATTGAGATACACGTGCACACGTATAGAGGGGCTACAAGAAGGAGGTTAAATGAATTTGAAGCCCCAGCGCTGCATCGCTCTCTCTCTTGCACGACGGCGACCTCAGATCGACGCTTTTGATTATATATTTTTATAGTCTTTTGCGTAAGTGCAACTTTTGCTGTTTCTTATGCAATAAACAATCATACGACTATTACTTTGGTTTCATTGTGTTTAAGTTACAGAAAAAACAAATAAAATCAAACTATCTACTGCAAACTGTTAAAAAAGGATCCCTTGTTTCAAAATCATCAACTCTATTTTCAATGCAACGTCATAGCGGTTAGAAGAGGTTAGTAGAAGAAAAAAAAAAAAAAAAAAAAATAGAATCACAACAAAAACAGACTCGATTAAATCGTCGATTGAGCATTAACCTAAGATCAAGCGACAGTTTCTCGTAAAGCACATTCTATGTTATTTGTAAGTCATTTGTGTTAGTAATTGTATTTCAAAAAACAATCACGAGGCGTAAAAGTCCTATGTCACGCACAATTGATCAATTGAATTGTGTGTCTCATCTACATCTCGTTAGATTCGCAGTGTTATGAAGTACATGTATATTATTGTTATTATTTAGTGAATGGTGCAAATGATGATAAAAGAAAAAAAAAAAAAAAAAATGATGAACAATTCGAAGATTTAATGAGGAAAATATTTGAATGACTCGTACCTGCAAGAGACTCTTAATAAAAGCCATATCGTGAGTTGTTCGCACGTTTGACGAGATAAGCGTGTGGTGTGTTGACGCGTGCGGTCAACATGGAACGTCGATAAGTTAGGACTTTCACAACCCCTTTTTGGTTAAATAATGAGGGGAGCGACAAACAACAACAACAACAACAACCAGCTAGAGTAAGGCGATAGAAGAAGACGTCTACGTGTGCGTGTGTTTGTTTTTTGTTTCGTTTTGGTTTTTTTTGTTTTTTGTTTTTGTTTTTGTTTTTTTTTTATAAAAAAAANCCAAGAAGTCAAATATTAATACATATTGCTTGCACATTGAACGATTGAAAAATAAATAAACATATACCGAAAAAAAAAAAAAAAAAAAAAAAAAAAAAGGTATCAATAAATAGAAAACGAAAAAAAGATGTGAAAAAAAAGGCCGAGTACCAAATTTCAAATATCTTGTTAATTTATCATCCCAATGACGCATCGCGTACGCACATGCAAAAACGTATACGCTGCGCGCATCTTATGAAGAAAAAAAAACAAAAAATCACCGTACAGGTAAATGTGCATTTGATATACCTCGATTGCCATATGCCATTTATGATCATAGATATACATATGTTCAATTGTAACAACAAACAAAAAAAAAAAAAAAAGAATCATATTTCGCTCACCACACACGACTTGTGTATGTGTGAAGACATTCAGAGCCGGGCTGTCTGGCGGCGGCAGAGCAACAGCAGTGCCTGCAGCGCGGCCTCTCGCGGCTCACACCTCCTCTCCTCCGCCACCCGGTGCTGCTCTCGTTTTTCCCGCTCCACCACCACGTCCGGCCGATGCTCTGTCTATTGTTGTTGTTGCCGTTGTTGTACCTGTCGCAGCTACCACTACAACTGCCGTCACCGAGCGACTCCGTAGTGCCGTTGTTCCTGGAGCGCGGTGGCCCCAGCAGCGTCGGTTCGCTATTACTGTCCCAGCTCACCGGCCCGATAGCCGCTTCTTCTTCTTCTTCTTCTCCTCGTACCAACGGTCCTGGGCTCGACGAGGCGGCTGCTGGCGCCCTGGGCCGCGCTGGCGAGGACATCGGCGGCCAACCACCGCTTCACCACCGACCCTTACCCTGAAACATAATTCCAATGAACCAATTGAAGGTGGAACAATTTTGGATGTCGCCCATACATGTTTATACTTGTTTCATTTGCTTCGTGCCACACATTTCTACCCCATCGACTGTTTCACGCGCATTTTTCACTAAACATAATTATGTGCAGCTCTTTTTTTTTAAAAAAAGAACAAACAACTCCAAATGTTGGCAATATTGAATCGATAAGAAAAAAGGGTTGGAGTAAGTAGCTGCACACAAGTCGACATCGTTGGGGAAAAATGAATTTGCCCGGCTTGAGCTTGATTAATCTCCAAAATAGAATATACTCTCATACTTGAGTTGGATAAATAATGATACATTATCGAGTCAAAAGTCAATGCATAATCGGTGTATGGGGTAGGAAACTGAAATTATACTTGGGCATCCCCCTTGATCGTGACCATTTTGTAAAATGGTAGCGTAGCACCATCAGCAAAGGGAGCTTTTCGGCATCTAAAACGTAAATATACCGATAACCCCAATATAGCCCCCCTTGCCAACAGAGAGATGAAAAATATATATCGTTTGCTTCTTGCAGGTTTTAGGTGTAAATAAGCAAACTCATCAATTTTTACAAGCACTTTAATACACCGATTTATTTTTCCATCCACAATCGACGCGTGTAGAGAAAACTTACGGCGAATCTTGTGGTCGAAATATTTTAAAAGCTCATTTTTTTCCGATCCGAAACTCAAAAGCTCACACGATGATGATTATACGGAGACTCTCTCATGTACACTGTTGCGAAGGAGACGAGAGGGGAAAAAAGTAAGTAGATGCGCGCGATACTGTGACTTTTTTTTTTTTTTTTTTTTTTTCTTCTCTGACCGCATTATTCATAACGTGCCCTTCTCTCTTTTTCTCCTCGCGGGTAAGCTTTAGATGTGTATACGTCAAAGGGAACTTGCAGCGCACACACACAAAAGGGGGTATGCAAATTTTGACGCTTCCACGGCACATTTTTTTTTTGTTAAAAATGAATTAATTAATAACCCGGGCTTTGGATTTGTGTGTGTATCCGGGCTCACGTTAACCAACGCTGTAAACTTTTCGAATCAAGGACGGATTACCGGGTCGATTTCGATTAATTTTTCCCTCGGCGTCGAGAATACGCGTGCAAAGGGGGGGGGGAGCGGAAAGGTACACCGTAGACGCTAAAAATTTCATGTGGCGTTTTCTCTCGTACTCCCCCCCCCCCTATTATTTTTTTCGATCCTCGCACGTATACGTATACACTATCGTGTAATATATATACTAAAGCAACTATGGTCGACGAGGGTATAACAGAACTACAGGCTTTCCTTTACAAGTATATCCAATGCGCGACATAACAGTGACGGGCAGTTCCATAAATATCCTATTATCGAGAAGGGAGCCCCCCCACCGCCCCCCTTGTCCGGCCGGTCGGTTATTATTAATGCTCGCAGGGATGCGTGTGTGTGACTCGTGAAATTTTTGGAAATAAAAAAAAAAAAAAAAAAAAATGTTAAATAAATGGTTGAATAATGAAATAAGTGAATAAATAATTAAATCAATGATTAAAAAAAAAAAAAAAAAAAAAAAGTTAAACGCGAACGGTGCATTTTTAGTGTTAGACAAGAGGTTCTCGCTTCCTCGAGAAACACCTGAAAATCCAACCCCACCTCCTCCGACTGGTGCGTATATACCTTCAGCCGTCACCCCCCAAACTCTTGACCTTTATTCTCTTTGCTCCCTTTACACCCAAGTAAGTATACTATACTGTGCGCGCATTAAACATCGGCCGTGCGTTCACATATTATACAAGTATAGTATCAACTGCAAAAGAGGCTAAGGAGGGGGGGGTGAGATACGAAAGGGGGAGAGAACCCCCCTCGATTGCGTGAGAGATAGAGAGTAGCAGGGAACAGGAGGAGGGGAGAAAGCTCTACTACTCCGTGGATATATATATGGGGTTTTTTTTGGGCTATACCAACGGGGGGAGATGGGGAGGGAAACTTTTGCTGCTGCGGATGTGCGTGCGAGCTCTCTCTCTCTCTCTCGATCTTGTTTTTCTTTTCCTTGCGCGCTCCCTTCTCCTCTCGCGGTTGCACTATACAGTGCGCGTATGGTACACACTTGTGCTTTGGCAGCAACTACTGTTGTTGTAGTAAACTTTTTGTTGTTTTTTTGGGTGTACTACTGGAAGTTGGAGTGGATTCGAAGCTTTTTTTTTCCATTCGACCATTACGTACACTGCCAAGATGGAATCCGGGGTATACGAATCGGATGAAAATAACATAATATATAGAGATGCTACTCTGTTTGATGTTGGATGAAAGAGCTGTCGCTTGTAACGCGATGAGGGGAACATTAACCATATTTGGAGGGGACACAGCCGGTGGATGAAATGGGATTGATTGATACGACTTGGCGATTGATAAGAATGGCGGAGGAAAAGCAAGGGAAAATAGCCTCTTATGAGAGGTTAGGTGAACAAAAAAAAATTTGGGTTTCGCATGACTCTCTACATTCGAAAAGTAAATATTTTATGCATATTTCGTAATTGCTAGACATGAATGTTGTTTATCCTCGCCGAAACCACGTAACATATAATCTGTATGATTGGAAGCGTGAAATGTTTTTGACTGTGAAGTTAGTAATTTAAACGTAATATTAATGTTTCCAGTTAACTCGAGTAGTTTTCGTCCGATTAACCTCCAAGTAATTTGGAGTAGCTAACTTTTCCGTTGTACACGTAGTTGCAGGTCAAATGTTTTTTTTTTTTTTTTTTTTTTGCGTAGGAGGAAAAAAAAAATTTCCTGTATTTTTACCTTTAAGAAGAAATTTTCGTTTTTGTCCCCCTACAACTTAGCCAATTAACGTTTCAATGCAAGTGTGTTCTTAGGAGGAAAAGTGGTATAGCAAATCTCATTAAAATATCACACTTTTTCTTTTTGTTACGTATGCTTTTTTCTGGAAAGTTAAATAACCGCTCTCATTTGCAAAAATGACTGGAAATTGTATAGATAAGTTTTTAAAACACAAAGTTAAAATATTAAATTATAACGATAAGCTTTTTTTTTAACAATAAATTAACATCAAACTATTTTATTTGACACACTTTAGAAGAAAGTATTGCACACGAATTCGTAGATTTGCAAAAAAAGGTTGCACTAATGACATTAACGGGTAATTTGAAACAAATCAAGCGACGTGTTTTCTGGTGCGCCAAAAATAATTGCGTTAATTTTCTCCTCGAACGAAAAGAAGATGAGTGTGAAGTCATCCTCGAGCCGTGTGAGTACTAACTTCGCACACAGCCGCCCTAATCTGGCTAATCTCTCTCTCTCTGTACACACCACCGCGGGAGATAAGAGCCAATTTGCGCGGTCGGCGTTGGTTGTTTCTTTCATGTATTTTGACGAGCGACGATATTGCGATATCGAAATAGTTTTTAAATAAAAAAAAAAAGTCGGCACATGATTTTTTGATGCACTGTAATTGTTACTTGAAGAAAAAAAAAAAAATTTCGAAACTGATTTTTTTCCAAGGTTAAAATTGTCAAAAAAATCATACATACAGTTCTTTACAAAATGGATTGTAGTTGTGTGAACAAAACAAATTTTTATACATTCGTCGACGCTTTAAACGCAAAATATTACCTTCTTGATTGAAACTTTTCATTGTTTCGACCAAAAACATTATTTAATCTGCTTTCTCATTCTAGATGAATTAAAATCTTCCCAACTAAGCAAGTGAACAAGATTTTCAGTGTAAACCTCGGTGTAAACCAATGAAAATAACAATATTATAGTTATAATAAAAAAATATAACTTAACATTGTATGTACAAGTTTCATCAGGATTTAAAGTGTGACCTTTATCATTATTACCATTATTTTTAATCATGAAACGGGGATCTTTGAATGAATATGTATATACTTACTTATTAAACAAGTTCAAACTCACTAATCCTATTTCATGGTCGCAATGGTAATGTTCGTACCTACTATGATAATGCACTAGAAGGTACTTTTCCTGTCTTATAGAAGTAAAAAAAAAAAAAAAAAGTTAATTAGGCTGAAATAATCGAAATACCTTGTGCGCTCACGTACTCGCTCACGTATATAAATATCTCTGATTTGTACGAGCATTTGATTTTAATTCGAGAACATTGAACTTGATTATAGTCAAATAGTAATTTTTCTTTTATATTTCGAGAAAAGGTGTTGTTTTTCGCAGATAAAATAAAAAAATGTGATTTTGAGCATGATGAGAAAAATACAGTTTAAATGAACACGATAATAATCTGCCGTGAGACAGTTATCCTTTGATAGTTAAAATAATAAATTAAATTTTTCCGAAAGGAGATACCCTAATTTAAAATATTTTATTGGAGTTGCCAATTTTCCGACACTACAAAAACTTGTTTAAATTATACGGCTGTATTCGGGATCGATTCGGGATGATTACTTTATTTTTCGTAAGATCACGTATCGGCTGAGAAAAAAAAAAGCTAAACAGTGGACCTCCAAAAAATTAGTGCGAGCAAAATTTTCATTTTTTTTTAGTTTACTTTTCATTGTGATAAAGGAAAAAAAAATTATTTTTCTCGTCATTTTAAGTATAGTTATGAGCCCCGTCGTTTCTCAGCCGCCAATTACGCGCAAGGCCATGTTTTTCCGCTCCCGGCGATTAATATAAATCGGATCACATTGTAAATGAACTCCTTCGCTAGCTGCACACACAGCACGCAAGAGAAAAATTCGCGGAGAGGAAAGAAAAAAAAAAAAAAAAAAAAGAGCCACTTGTCTCTCATTCATGGCGATCCTCTTGTATATAAACGGTGTACGGTGTGCGAGAAACCTCCCACCTTTTTCTTTCAACTTTCGCGTGTGTACGTGTGTGTGCATGCGCTGGAAATTTCTTCGCGACGATGATGAAAGAGAGAAAAGCCTCGCGCCCTCTTTGTCCCATGGCTCCAACGGATACGCGTTATTGTTACTTGTGTGCCGGTTTTTTTTTTTTTTTTTTTTTTTTTTTTTGTGTAATTAAATAACATGGGAAAAAATATCCATATGTCGAAGGGTAAAAGTGAAAGGATATCAAATGTGCTGCTTCCATCTCTAACGAGACGAAAAAACAAAAGGGTCATACTTAGCAAATAATTATTATTGGATGAGCAATAAATGTAAAACTTTAGTGCTCTTTATTAGCCATTCATTAAATAAAACATTCAGTTTGATAGCGGCTATTGAAAAGTGCTAAGCTACAAAAATTTTCTTTTTCGTTGGACGAGCTTTTTTCCAAACCTAAACCGCACTTGAATTTATTTATAGTATGGCGTATATTGTACAAGTGCAAGTTGTGAAAATTATCGTTACAATATTTCCAGCCGAGGAATATAACCACATAAAACGCATGGCGCCGACTCGGCAGCTTCTCCCGTATACGGAGCAAATAAACGCGTCGCTCTCGCGAGACGTGAAACCTGTACCGAAAAAAAAAAAAAAAAAAAAAAAGTAAGTTAACGCTCGAGCACACCCGCGTATATATTATGGGTAGGACCCACGGGAACTAACGAGCGACATCCATACATTATAAAGGTAAGAACAATAGTGGATGGGTTTTTCCCCATATTTGTGTTAGTGCCGAAAACTCCCTCACAAGATCGGCACCCCGACTGCCCCCTCCACAAACACACATTTCACCTCAAACCCGTCATCATCTCGTCAACGTCGTCCAAGCTGGGGCTTTTAATTTAAAAAAAAGCGCTCCAATCGAGACGCGAGGTGAGCTGGCAGCAGAGATAAACACTCCCGAGGATTCGAAAGGAGAGAGGACACCAACGAAATCAAAGCCCTCGAGAGATCCACGAAAAAGTAAAATAGCGTTGGATGGGCCAGGGAAGGGGGAGACAAAAATATATCGAAAATATATATACGTGTGTGTACCGAGGAAACGGTTGGGGGGGGGAGGAGGGTGGAAAATGTAAAAAAAAAAAGGAGAGGTGGATGGGGGTAGCTCTGATAAACGAAATATTAATGTCGAGCTCCACTTTGGGTCACGACGCTCTTGTACGAGCGCGAGCGAGAGGGTATCAAAAAGCCTCGGCCCCCTTTTTGCGCCCCCCCCCCCCCAGTGGTGTGTGTACACATATAGCCACCCCACATCACTGCAATTCTCATCTTTTTCTCTCTCTCTCTGATGGCACATACACACACACACACAAGAGAGAGGGAGCATCGTTTTATATGTGCGTCGCGTACACGTACAGTCAATCTACTTGGCTCGTGCCAAGCTATGTAGGGATGCTTCCCTTTAATACTTATATTTTTCCCTCCCTTCGTCGCTCAACCGTGGCCCGTCTTTACCCATACATATTATATACGTGCAGCATGGCGTTCCGAAAATATTGCTTAATGAGCTCCGTGTGCTCGTCCGGCTCGCTTCTTCGTGTGTACATCTGCATACTTACTGTTTACTATTTTTTTTTCTTTTTTTTTTTTTTCTACGCCGGTAATAAGAACGAGGGAAAGAAAGTCGCGTTGTATTCTTATTCATTTCTGTTTCTTCTCTCTCTGTGTGTGTGTGTGTAGGTATTACTTGTGGAGAGTTTTGTTGTATTCGCGCATACATACCTATGCACTAGAGCTCAACTTTGCGATGCCTGCATGCGGCTCTTTGTTTTGCAAAAAAAGTTCGAGGTTTCGGCGCAGATGCTGTTCAAGTACAATCGTTTCTCGCTTGCTACGTGACGCAACGACAAAAAAAAAAAAAAAAAACCCATGTGGGATGCTTTTGGATACGTTCGGGGGTTTAATTCACAAGATGATCACGCGAGGGTTAAAAATCCGCCCCATTTGGCAACAACTCCAGCGTCGTTATCCAATATATTTCGAGTTGGTAACTTAACTCGTGACCTAAGGTATTTGTTTCGTTTAATCTCATTGTAAATATTTAACATCCTTGGCTTACTCAGCGTTGCACAAATAATGATTGAAACTGGAAAATAAACGGCATCCAACTTGCTGTTGCATCGTGTTAAAAATATTTCAATGAAATATTAAGCTTTAAAACTAAGGTAATGTGTGGATATAAAACATGAAACAAGTACATGTATGGGTAGAGTTTATATTAGATCATTAATCTTAGTTAAAAATATTGAAGATAATGTAAAATATCTTTACCTAAACTTGCGGCAAACGTCAATTGAGGTGCAGAGTATTTATTGTATATCTTTGGTGTTGACTTCAGAGTCTCAACAGCTTTCCATCACCCAACACATTGAATTTTAATTCAAAGAGGGGGGCAAAACCCAACAAAAACTAAGGAAGGGCTTTCAGGAGTTTTCTCTCCAACTTTGGCACTGCGTGTCATTCACGGAACTTATATCACTGCACTGTAGGCACTTGCACTTTTTCATCCATCGGGTCGTTATGTACAAACTTTAACTCGTAAGATTTTGAGAAGGGGAAAAAAAAAAAAAAAAAAAAAAAAAAAAAAAAAAAAAACAACAACTAGCAGTCTTTTGCTTCAGGCGCGGCTACGTGTAATCATCTTCTGTCTCGACGATAATTTTCAGGCGTGGGCCGCCGTCCATCTGGAAGAGCTGCTCGCTATTCTCTACCCAAACGTCGCAAAGATCTGGTCTGTCCTTACGCATTTGTCAAACTCCAGTCTAATAATCTGCAACAAAAACGGCGTGGCAGCGGTGCGTTAATTCACCTTTGTTCAAGGGTTTGTGTGTAAATATATGAAAAATTGATTGACGTGGAAAAACAAAAAAAAAAAGGAAACGATATTTGTAAACAAAATTTAGTGTTTGAAAAATGTTCAGAGACAAGCCGAACAATGACTCGAAAGAACAAGAAGAAGATCGGTATGGGGAAAAAAAAAAAAATTACCCAAGCCCCGGAAACGCTGGGGGGTTGGAAGAAAAGTTGATAACGGAGAGAGAAAAACATTCGAGCACACACACACACACACACACACGATCCTCGAGACTCCAGCACGCCTGCCTTGTACACGTATCAACTCAATCTCACTCGCTTTTGCACACACAGCAAAACGCAGCTCCCCCCCTGACTTTCCCTTCCGCCCCACATCCCTTATACTTACACCAAGACAGCACAGACAGCATATCTTCGAGGGGTGGCTCTCTCCATCCAATGCACACACACACACACACACACACACACACACACGTAGATATACCGAGTACATCATTGCTCCGTACGCACGTGCGAAGCCCACTTAGCTCCACTTTATTTTTTTTTTTAATCGCTTTTACTCTCAACACCTCGCTTACCCGGCTCTCTGTACAACGTGTACCTATACTATACGGCTGGAATCCAACTTTTGGCGATTTGCTCTTCCCGTGTTTTATCTTAGAAAGTTCATTCCAAATGAATCAGAAAAAACACCCGATTTATTCCACGGGATAATTTTGCTCGGTACTATTGTATTCCATGTATGTATACATATTTTGTGTGTAAATGCAATGCATGCGCGCGCGCGTGTACATACATAATATTGTATGTGCATCGTAAAAGGATCGTGAAAGACAGAAGCTGCAACCGGAGTTCCTGGATTCTCAACCCGTACATGTATTTCAGGGCACACATTGTGGATAGAGGAAGAGAGAGTTTAGCAGTTATAAGCATACCATTGAAAGGAAAAGCAATGAACAAATCGTTTTAGTAAAACTTTTCTCTTCCTAGATGCATCCTCCCCCCTCATACGTTGCCCCGAATGTCCAGGTATATCCTTACAACTCAACGAGTGTTGACAATGAAAAACAAGTTGGAATTGAAATCCACATCATCCCCTAATCTCTCTGCAACTCGTTGCACACATGCACCGCCGTTCACTGTATACATGATAACACACCCTCACAGCAATTGGTGTTCCTTCACCTTCCTGACTGGTACTCTAGCTATTGCCTTCCACTCCAAATACCAAACAACTAGGTACTCACGGTCGCATAAAAATAAACTGAAAGAAATCTTATTGCTTGATTATTTAGATAACGTGAGACTCACTAGACCGAATGCACCATTGTAGCGAACGAAAATAATGCCATGATGCATTCAAGCGTATATATATTCACAAGTAATCACAGATAATCAGAGTCGAGAAGCTATACCAGATACAAGCAGGAGATCACACGAGCAGAAGGAAAATTAAAGGGAGAACCACACACACTAGCAGCGCGTCATCGGAGAAACATCGATGCATATACAAGTATATGTTTTTACGTTATACGCACTTTACGAATAATTATAAAAACACAAGGCTCGTCTTCAGCCGCCACCGCGCACAATTACGTTACGTTTACTTTCTCACGTTACATAGGTAATTACACACTGGGTGTGTATAGGTATACATATACGGATGCCCATGCACCTTACGTCAGACCGAAGCAATCGGAGGAAACAAGCGATGAGCCAGCTGGAGCACAATAAGCGGCCCTAAGGGTGCTGAGGTGATGTAAAAATTAAGCGTCCCTTCACTGAAAACTACGTATACTCAACGAGGAAATTCGAGAGCACGTGAGCGAGGAGTTCAACATATTTAGGGTCGGATGGAGAGCGAGAGAGGAAAAGCGGGGGAGCAGTATACACATCAGCAACATCATCATCATAAATCATCGCACAAGCAGTGGACAAACTCACACTCTGCAACCATTGAACATACCGAAAAATACACGTACGCGATCACCAGAGACTATACGCACTTTTCTTTTTTTTTTACACTTATTTAAAAAACCTTGATTTTTACTTTTTTTTTTTTTTCCTCAATACGTGATACACAAGGGGTCGAAGGCAGAGCACCGCAGGTTTTCTTTTTTTTTTTTTTTGCCACGCACACACGGCCAGCTAGCGTTTGAGACCGTTAAGCCTATAAATATCCAAAATATAGGCTAGGAAGTGATGGCTATTCGTGAAGCAAAATAAGTAGGCAGCCACGCGCGAATATAACACGGCTAAGGCTCAAGTTGGGGCGCACATGTACGAGAGGGTAGAGGTGGCTAGAAGAGGAAAGGGAGGGGGGGGAGGATCGTGTGTATACGTGTGTGTGTACCTCTTCGCCTCGGAGGAGGAGTCGGTCAGGTTGGCGAGGGACCCAGTGGACATGCGGAAGGTCATTCTAGAATTGACGCCGACGATGGCTGGTGACCCGAGAACACGGCAATGCTTGTAATGTAGGTAGTGCAGCAGCAGCAGCAGAAGGGACGTCGACGAGTACGTACGCTCCCGCCGCGGCCATCTTACTTTTTCACGGCTGCACTGCTGTCCCGGATTGTCCGGGGTGAAGATGGGTGTATGCAACGAGCGCGGTGTGAACCCGGTCAGTGGTGATCCACGGCTTCGGCCCAGCTTCCCGTCAATTTTCGCCTGGAGTTTTAGATCTCTCTCACTCTCCTCGGCTCTGTGCAGACCACTTTAGGCAGATAGACAGAGACACACCGAGTTTTTGTTGCATATGTATACACTTGGGTATGGTATATAGAGACATATATGTGGTCTTCTTTCTCTTTTTTTTTCGATACACAATACACAATACAAACACGCACTGATCCAAACACAGGTATCGCGTCGCGAATGACGGGTGATGGTAAATTGTTTACGAGGCAGCTTTGTTTTTTGCGCCCGAGGCGTGGTACTGTGGTAGTGTGAGCCAACACTAACTATAATAACACGATTCAAGCGATCTCTCTTTTTTTTTTTTTTTTTTTTTTTTTTTTTTTTAATGATTACTCCCCCTGTTTTCTCTATTTGATGTTGGCAGCACTGATATTATTTAGCGCGACACCTATCTTTCCGCGAATTTTCGAATTATAAATGTGTGTGGACTTTTGGTTTTTCATTTATTGAATTTGTCGGATGTCAGCTGATATGAATTCGAAAGGAAAGGTGTTTGAAAAAATTGAAACGCAAATAAGTGGTATCAATAGAAAATATATTCTCAAGTTCATGCTGGCTTGTTTGCTTGGCAGTTATCATTGCTATTATTTTTTACCTCGTCAACAATGTAAACTTTCTTCATTGAAAAACACAACGTATATACTATATGTATTTTGTACATAACTGTATAAAATTGCAATAATATACTTATCAAAAGTACGAAGATAGAAGTTTTGTATGCGACATGCACAAAAAATATATTTGTGCGCGTAGGCCTGCGTATTTTTTTCACAATTCAACTCTTCGTCACTTCAACGTTATCTTGAAAAATCACTCTACAAAAGTAACAATTATTGATAAAAAAATACACTTGTAAATACCATTATCTCGGAGAAAGTATAAAAAAAAAAAACCCGCAAATTCTTACAAATGATACAAAACACACAATTTCTCTATTGTTATGATTTGTTTTCCAGTTTGTTATTATTTTTTTTTTTTTCTTCAAACACCGTACACATTGATCCACAATCCAAAAGTGCAGAGTAAACTGGTATCAAACGGAAATAACACGGTGTAGCTCCAGCCGGTGAAGATTTAATTCTTGATAAAGTCCTGGACCTCCTTGGCGATGGTGGTAGCGTCGATGCCGTAGTAGCTGAGCAGCTCGTCTGGCTTACCAGATCTCGGGACTTCCTTGACAGCCAGCTTCCTCAAAATGAGATTTGGATGCTCGGAGATGGCCGAGAGCACAGCCTCGCCAAGGCCACCCTCGGGATAATGGTCCTCGACCGTGATAATTCTGCCGCTCGTCTGGACCGCATTGTCGATAATAGCCTTCTGGTCGATGGGCTTGATGGTGAAGGGATCCATAACGCGCACGTTGATGCCAGCCTTGGCCAGGATGTCTGCGGCTTTGAGGGCCTCGTGCAAAGTGACGCCAGCGCCGATGACGAGAGCCCTGTCATTGTTAGACGACCTGACGACCTTGGCTTTGCCGATGGCCAGAGGCTCGTCATTTTTGTAGATCACCGGCGTGTTGGGTCGCGAGGTGCGGATGAAGCAGATGCCCTTGGTGTTGGCAGCGAGCTCAGCCGCGCGCTCGGTCGACACGGCGTCGCAGGGATAGAAGACGGTAGAGCCTGGCACAGCGCGGAACATCGCGAGGTCCTCCAGGGCCATCTGCGAGGGCCCGTCCTCACCGATAGACACACCGCAGTGGGAGCCGACAAAGTTTACGTTCGTTTGGGAGATCGCACCCATACGAATCTACACCAAGAAAGGAAAATCACAAATTTATCAAAAGTCGAAAATTGCATCCATGCAAAATTTCAAGGTACACGTATTTCAAATGACCTGATCGTAGGCACGACTGAAGAAGGCGGCAAAGGCGGAGACGAAGGCAACTGTGCGGTCTCTGCAAGCGGCACCAATCGCGACACCAACGATGTTCTGTTCGGCGATGTAGCCTTCGATGAAGCGCTTGGGGTCAACGGCCTTGATCTTCTCGGCAAAAGTCGAGTTTTTCGTGTCACCGTCCAAGCCGATGACTCGAGGATTGTTTTTCGCTAGCTGATAAGCGATAAATTTAATTTAGCTGAACGAAACCGTTTAGGGACATAGATCTATTCGGACATGAGAAATCACCTTGGCAAGAGCAGTGCCGTAAGCTAGTCGAGTGGCAACAGCTTCTCCAAGCTTATAGCTCGGTGGAGTGTCCAGCTTGACGTGGGTGATGCTCACTTTGGGCGCGTCCTCGACTGGCTTTGCGATGACTGGTTTTGACGCCTTGCGATCGGACTCTGGTGTTTTCAACATCGTTTTCAAGTGCTGCCAAATAAAACAAGTTTTTCATGAAAAAAAAGAAGCATTTCCTCGTTTCTGCCACGAAATGAAAAACTAAAGTTCTTATTACTTTGATAACTTCTTGGCACTGGTTGCCCACGATGGGTTTGCCGTGCCAGTTGTCGAGATCTTCGATGTTGATGAAATTCCTACCCTTGAAGGTCTTGGCGAGAATGGCCGTGGGACGACCCTTGGTCTGTTCGGCCTCGTAAAAAGCCTGAAACGAGAGATTGAAAAATAAGATCGATAGAAGCATTGTTTTCACATCATGGGTGTAGAAAACGCACTTTGACGAGCTCCTCGACATCGTGTCCGTCGACGACGATGGCGTTGAAGCCGAAAGCCTCGAGGCGCTTGCGGTAAGTCTCCATGTTGTGCTGAAGGGAGGTGGGCTCGCTCTGGCCGAGTCGGTTTATGTCGAAGATGGCACAGAGATTGTCCAGACCGTAGAAGGAGGCAAAGTGCAGAGCCTCCCAGATCGATCCCTCGGCCGACTCGCCGTCACCGATCAGGCAGTAAGTCCTTGAAAAATTCGAGCATCGTATAAATTATTTTTACACAGCATCGTACATATGGAAGCGTTGTTGTGAAAAAAGTAGTATTTGTTGTGAATACACTATCTGTACTATTTAGCTTTTATTTGTTTTTCCAAAAATTTAGCATGACAATCAATTGTACCTGTAGGAGGCTTTGTCGAAGTACTTGCCAACGTAGGCCATACCAGCGGCGACGGAGAGACCCTGCCCGAGAGATCCAGTGGCCACATCGACAAAGTTCAGTCTGGGTGTGGGGTGGCCCTCGAGGTCGCTGTCGAATTTCCTCAGGTTCTGCAAATCCTCGACGGGAAAGAGTCCAGCCTCGGCCCAAGCTACGAACGCAAAATTGATCAGTTTTTTTCCGTACCAACAGGTAATATGTAGGACAAAATGGAAGTTATCAGTCACACAAACCTGCGTAGAGGATAGGTGCGGCGTGGCCTTTGCTGAGGATAAACCTGTCGCTGTTTGGGTCGCGGGGCTCGCTTATTTTGTACCGCATCGTGTGGAAGAACAGCACGGACACGATCTCCGCCATGGAGGAGCATGATGTCGGGTGTCTGGAAAACGTCAAGGGATATAATTAAGTATTATCTCGACTTTTTTTGCTTAATTTTAAAACTAAAATGGTAAAAAACTATACCCGCATATTTTTATGTTTTATACATTGTCAGAAAAGATTGCAAAATTGAAGAACACTTGAGATGTTCGCGTTTATTAATACTAAAATTTACTGTGTAATTCATGCATGTTTGCTTGAATTTCTTAACTGTTTTTAAAAAAATCGAAGTTTTTTTTTTTTTTTTTGTTAACCCAAACATTTTGGGTTTAGAAAAAAATTCTGATGTAATTCTAATTAATAGGTGCGTTGAATAAAATTTATTCTTACGTGTTTGCTACAATCCTAAAAACTTTTGAAGTTTTAAAATGTTCTAAACATTTTGAATTTCAAT